TCTGAATCTGACGGTTGCTGTATCCGTTTTTCCTGAAGGTGGTGGTGAGTGCCTCCAGTTCACTCTGTAGGCTGTCGTGGTCGCAAAGGGCTTTAGCACCCTATTGGCATATTCATCGCCCTGATGACGGAGGCAGTATGACCTCTGAAACGTTGGTTAACATCGACCAGACTACACAGCGCAATAACCCAGAAGACAGAAATCTTCATATTCACCGCTGTGAGAACCTCAAGTCTTACAACTAATTATATCATTAGTCAGGTTCCAACAGAGCTACAAGAAACTTAAAGCGTCGTTGAATAAATTAGGACTAGGCCCAGCCTTCATTGGAAGTATCATAAAAATTCTGACGAACTATTTCTTTTCACACAAAACATATAGCGATACTGTAATCCAGGGTGTGTTCACGTTGCTTGCTATCATAACACCAATAAATTTACGATACGTTATCAAACGGGCCAACTAGCCAATAGAAACGAAACAACTTAATATTATAACATAAATGTTGACAGTAGGAAAGTCACATCTTTATTAAGGATAAAAATATGGGTTTGGCCTCTGTGTTAACACAATCAAGAGTTCGTGTCAGCATCTCTGACATATAACATTCAGTTGATAAAGAGCGGTAAAAAGAGAAAGCTTTATTAATACGAGCACAGCAATTTGTTCCCAGATCGTAAACTATACGAAACACGTGTGTAACACAGATAATAATTCCACCATTTCCTGGTAAAACAGCATTCAATCTCTCTGTGGTGAAATGGGATACTAGAAGGTTCAAGATAGTTCAGAGCTGCACCCAGTGTAGCCCTGTTAGAGTCAATCCGTGTAAAAATACGACAGACAACACCGTGTGAAGAAGAAAGCCTTCCTCTCTCCTTTCTTACCTAATCCCAAATTCAGAAAGTCATCAACGGGAGACCTTCCATGTGTTTTTCCCTGCTTCTGTCTCACTCTACTAAGTATCCTGTTTAAGCGTAGCCTAACTTAAGATCAAGAGTGAGATTTGAGGTCCTCACGGAAAATATTTAGACTTTGGTAATGTGATGCTATATGGACTTGTAGGTAGGTACCATCGTCCTGGAGCAACACACCTTCTTAATCTTCAACCATTCTCCTGTTTCATAGATTTCGATTTGATGTCTGGGCTTCTCACATGGCGAGACCTTCTTCTCCCCCACTGCCTCTCTTAATACACTCGTTTCAGCTGTTTCCAATATTTGTTTCCTTCCGTGGTGTTTCTTGCAGACCTCAGAATGGTCTCATTAACAGTTTACAATAGGCCTATACTTCGGTTCTCAGCGTAGATATTTCGGTCCAGCAACAGTACTACGAGATAAAATATTAAGTGTTAAAAATAGATTCGAAGCTGACAGTTGCAGAAGGATGGATATAATAGGGGTATGAACTTCTACTACAGGCCTGTGTTCATATAAATTGCTCCTGTAAGAAACTTCTCATTGAGTTTGAAACTACAACTTCTAATTACGTGCAAATGAGTTAGCCCTGTAACACATCGCTACAGTACAGATTTATAAGATAGGACTATCTTCCACGTTAAATGTGGTGTCTATTGTCTGTAAGCAAGTGATGAATGCTTTTCAATAATTTCCTTAAAATCACCCTGGTTATTTTACATAAATGTATTGTTCATTCTATAAACATAAAAAAGTACGAATGATTAAGGATTCTATGCCCACATAAACCAAAATGTCACTAACCATAAAAAGTAACCTACTAACTAACTAACTCCCTGGTAACAGAACCCTCAGGTTCAACGCCAACAACAAATATTTTATGGGCATTACGTAACACACCAGGCGATCTACTTCAGAACTAAGTAAGTTTGTGATGCAAAAATCCAAAAGATGTTTATGCAAAGACTAGTCATTCCTCAGTCACTAGCTAAGACGCGTGTTTCATTGTTGTTTATTTACATCTTGAACTGTCTGACATCTCCTAACTAGTTTAATTATAATGCTCTAGCATTGAAAAAGTGTCGAACGTCGCAAACAAGTGGTTGGCACTACTGCTTCGGGTTGTAATCTCCGCCCGGAGACCGAGTATCCTTTCACAGAATTTCCGTGCTTTTAGTCAGTCTCTCCAAGCGAATTCAGAGATATTGCCATCAATTAGGCCACGCCCGCTTCCTACACGTTGTTTCCAATTCGTGGTTCATTAGTCTTCAAATTATTCGACGCTATGCAGTCTGATAAACTAACAGCATCACTAAACAAATCACAAACAGCTAAACAAAAATAACATAAAACAGCGAATACCACTGAAGAATTTCAAGAAATAATTTAATGACGTATCAATTGCTGCTTATTCCATTGTTGCATGGGAAACGAGCAGTGGGCTCTGCGGGATCTCCCCGTCATCACCATGAACATCTTTGTGCAGACAACAGCAACATCATCATTATCATCATCAAAACCAGCAGCGCCTCCCCTCCGTTACAACAATTGATTACACTCAGATTATTTTGTCATTAATCAAGCCACCAATAGATTGCACTGGACGCCCCTTTCGTCCTGAATACGAAGACAATACAACCATTCAAAAAGACTACAAATGACGCAGGTCACTGCACCTGTTAAAACTTTATACAAACAGTAGTATGTAGTATTATAGAAGCAGAAACAATAAAACAAATTCAGACAAAGCATGGCGATATACAATAGAAAATGTGTACAGTGTCACAACCTTTCGTTATTATACCCTGAATTTAATAAGTACGAAAAGTAACTAAATGTTCCTTGGAATGGATTAAATTACACGTGTCTTTCAATATAAATGATAAAGAGCCACCTGAAAATGGCAATAAAGGCAGCTCCCAAGACTTCGTGTACGCGTATATCAAATATACGTACCTCAGATAATGGATATGTTGAACATTCACATTTTTAGGAGCCTTGTAAAAGCAATGAAGTTGTTGCTATTCTTACGTTAGCACGAATCGTTAATGGTAAGGATTTAACCTGTAACTTCTTGTTTGGAACAATTATCTCATCAAGTTAAACAAAGAATGGATAATACATTCAAAATGTATAATTATGCATACTTAAGTTATATATAGAAGGCATGTATGAAGTGAACCGCGATACCTCAGTCTGTAAAGTGTCTGATGACAGGTTCCCTTCGCCAACTAGTTCAGATCAGCTGTGGGATCCACCAACTCCCTCGAGGATACAGAGGCCAGAGCGTGAAGCTAGCATTTACCACCTTCCAGTGACGACGTTAATATTGGTATATCTGAATTCTTCAGCACAGCTTAATAGCTAGGTGCACACAAACAACTTTACATTACCTGTAAAAATATCAGACATCTTTAAAAATTGCATTAACCGTGTTTTGCGACTGGGCTATTTGCTTGTAAAATGAAAGCGAAAGCAAGCCTGTCATTTTTTCCTCAGCCTTCGGATTAAAAAAGTCAACGCCCGGTAAGAGTAAGGCTGGAAGACGATACAGTGAAGGTGTCTTCTCGTTGACTTCGTAACATTATACTGCCCTTTGCGTTGCTGAAATATTTCTCAAGGACAGGGCCGCAGTGACTTGACCATTTGGTCTGCAGCGAGTTTGAACGAACTGACGAATACAAAACTATGAATAGCCAGACACGGTTTCTCACGTGTTTCTCATGTTTCTGTCACACGGTTTACCGTGTCTCCATTCCACACCGTATAAAAAACAAACTTTTTTTTACCAGAACGTGAGTAATAAAAAATTGGGAACCATTAGTAAAAGATATAAAAATAATAATCGCTCTGTTGCTGGAGGCAGCTAGAATCTCTGAAACGTCGGTAAACTTCTACCAGACTACACATCGCGACAATCCAAAAGATAGCATTCTTCACATTTAATTCTGCTGTTAAAATATAAAACACAAAACTATAATTTTACCCATTTCACTGTATGATTTTGAAACATGATTTCTTACTTTAAGCGAATAGAACAGATTAAGAGATTCTGCAATATTATTTGCAGTGGAGAATCAAACTACAAGGCAGTGTATAGTATAGGTAAATGTCTGTAAATTTGGACATGGCTTTTAGTTTCTCAACTAAGGACAACACAAAATCCCATTCAGAATTGTCTCCAGCTACTTTTATGGAGAAGAGTTCTTCTTGAGAAGTTAAATGTCGCTCAGCTGTCTTCACCAAGGGTTCATTACAGTGTTCACAAGAGACGAAAGCTGGTTCCTAAGTTAAGTCAAATAAATCTCAAAATCTAGGTCTCGCAAGTGAGCTCCTTCCTTCATGTTTCCAGATCACAATTTTGTAGGTATGAAATGACACAAATAAGGGCTGAAAACTGGTCGGATCACCCGATTAAAACTACAAGAAAGTTGAACCATGAAAAACGCAAGTTATTTTCAAACTTCATAGACAAATGTCAACTGCCTGGGATCTGAGGATCTTACGGCATTGAAAATGTCGACTGTGATATTTTGGGTTGCATGCAATCTTGTAGGTGTTTACTGACATATTTCTGGAATGTATTGTCTCCACCTTCATCATTTTTGTTAAGATTCTAGAAGAGTACTGGGCGTCAAAACCCAGAAGACCATTATCCACAAATATCTACTATTCGTACGATATATGAGAAGTCGAAATTCAAATGTGGAGGCGAAAACAGGATAAAACCTTCACAAAGTGAACAACCTATTAAACTGACACACGATGTCACGGCTTGAACTTGTTGAAGGCCTATGATGCTCGTTCCTTTCGCTTTAGGTTTAGCGAAAATGTTACGATGAAAGACTGAAGGGGAAAGAGATGAGAGGTGATGAATAAAAAACAGGGAGGTCAAAAATCGTATTCTTCACCTTTCTCTTTTCAGAGAGAAGAAAAATAGGCCGAGTAACCTCAGGAAGTTCCCCTTCTCAGTGTAAGTGATTTATGATCCCTCATGCAGACTTGACGTTGGTCTGACTTCGACCTCGTAGGCAGCAGCAGCAGCAGCTACCCTCCTCGCAGTCTGTTGCTTCGGGTGTGGGGTTGCAACTTCACATGTCTTAAGCTTGCAACTGCCTATAGTCAACAGCTGGTAAAATGGTGTGAGCAACCTCAGACAAGAGTCCTTAAGTGAGGACCACAATGACACAAAGCTCATTAAAATTAGCAAGAACATTGGTTAGAAATTAAACAGGGAGCTGAAGACGCATAACGAATATATTATTCTTAAAACCGCTATATAGTTCACCATCTTAATGTTTTCACCAAGGAAATTTGGTGAAATGAAAGATAAAATGGTGCAATTGAAGTTGTCCCTGGTACTAAATTAAGCATCACGCCGTGAAGACGTATGTGGGAGTTTAAGTTATGCCTTTTTATTCTCGAGAAGAGAACTCCAGAACCCATTGTACAGGAGCTGTATGGACTCAACATCCGGTCTGGATGTTATGCTGGGAGAGAAAAATGCTTTACATTAACGTGAGAGCGATTTCACAGGGAATATTCATTCCCACGTGGAACATGTCTCTAACACACGTATTCAGTCTGAGTTGAGGTTTTGATTACACGGAACGTAGTCTCCATTCAGGCCTCTAACTACGTTGCGAGTATCCTTTTTAGACCAACTTAACTTTACTTATTCCATTTAATATATTTTTACTTAAGAGGAGTATGGGATTATGTGCAACGATAAATTATTCTGAGATAAAGGTGAATGAAAACAATTTTTAAAAAAAGATTTTATGACCACCAACATTATGCAAGAAAATTATACTTGTTCTCACATGAACAGTCACTCAATATGTTGATTCCTACTGGGTCACGATATTGTCAAGTGCATGACTCTTACGAACACTGCAATGCATATCTGATTTACATAAAATACACGAAATTTGGTGATCAGCTGAGAGGCTCTCAGCTGCTCAAGTAGGATTCTGCCACTAGAAATTATTATTTCAAACTCACCGCTTACGAGATAATTCATCTATAAGCTTACTTTGCCTCTGTCTCGTCCCCTTGACATTGGATATTATTTTGGTGCACTGTGGAAGGGGAGAGGTAAAAGCGACCGCACACATGTTAAGGAAACCCTAGGGAAACTTCTATATTTGTTTGTTTGCGGGAATGCTGGTTAGCAGCCAGTCCGTATCTGAAAGGTATTGTGCCTGAATATCTCGACAGGAATTTTCTATCCTTTAAGAAAATTCTGAGACGGTACGCAAGTTCCAAGACGACACTGCATGTTTCTCTTACAGCCCTTTCAAAAGTATTGAATAGAAACAACCCTCTTAGTGTTCAGACCACGTAGTTACTTGTCTATTCTAAGTAATGTCCTTTCCCATAATTTAATCAAAAATTAAAAATTCCGCGGTCTCTGCCTCCAGCTTCTGCTCCTTACAGGCGTCACAAAAAGAAATTGCCGGTAGAAAGTATACAGAACTTCGTCCAGGATTGGCGATGTCAGACTCTGGGAGTGGGGCTACAGACTACCGCTTCGACGACTGCTAGGCGTGCAAATCAAATTATGTTCTTGCATATCCTAGGACAATGGAAAGCTCCTTCGGCTTCTGCTTTTTAACCCTAATGTCTTTATTTGCATTCTAGCCTTCTCAGGAATAAGCGAGCGATTCCTGGAAACCTTTTAAGAAAGCGGTTCTCACCCCCCCCCCTCCATAAAAATGTCTCTCACTTCTCCTGTGACTTCTGTTTCCAACTACTCTTCTTTTACTATCTTCCCCAACTCTTTCTTCTCCTCGTTTGATCGACCGAACTTGAGTACGTGGTTCCCGGTCCCAGTATGTAGGGCCAATCAAACTTCTTCAAGTGTTAAATCATAAATCCAGCTCAGATTCTGTGTCCTCAATTTTCAACGCCATTTATGGCCTGCAACACTCCCTTGTCTCCACATTTGAGGTGCATATGCGTTACGCCACGCCTCAAAAACTCAGTGCCTACTATGAGCCGCTTAAAAAAGAGGTAACTTCCGGGGCCCTGATAATTCGGAAAGCCATAACAATCTGATTTTACTATTCATAAGCTTAAGATTAATGTACGCATTTCGTACATCTAGTCTCCCAGAGTAAGTGGAAACAGGTAGAGAGTATGGAATGGAAACCAACATTGAAAAATCAAAGGTAATGAGGATAGCACCGAGAGCAGAACCATTGAACGTTGTAGTTGGAAACCAACAGCTGGAGAATGTGGAGCATTTCAAGTACTTGGGAAGCATAGTCACGACGGACGCCCTATGCACCAAGGAAGTAAAAGCAAGGATAGCCATGGCCAAGGCAGCTTTCGTCAAGAAGAGGATACTTCTCACTAGCAAGTTGGGCTTGGAGATGAAGAAGAAACTAGTGAAGTGTTACGTATGGAGTGTCGCGCTGTATGGAGCAGAGACTTGGACACTCAGGAAGAAGGAACAGAAATACCTGGAGAGTTTCGAAATGTGGTGTTGGAGAAGAATAGAGAAGATCAGGTGGACGAATCGAGTGACCAACGAAGAAGTATTGAGGAGAGTCAACGAGCAAAGATTACACGAAGGAAAGC